GTATGTTACACTAGCCTCTTTTTTTTTTTTTTTGTATTTTAGGGAAGGGCCCACAGGGTGTTCAGGGTCTCACTACTACATCGGACTCTAGTGATCCACCTGTTTACAGCCTCCCAAGTGCTGGGATTACAGGTGTGCGCCCCCTACACCCAGTCTCAATTGCCCTCTCAGCGCACCCCAGGGGCGGGGCCAGCACAGCAGGCCCAGGGATCGAACCAACGCCAGACCCCTGAGCCTGCTTGCAGGCACTTTAATCTGGTGAGCTATTTGGCCAGTCCTCGCTAGCCTCTTAAGAGGTTGATAAAGTTGGAAAATGACAGACAAAAAGTAAAAGGAGAGCTCGATTTATAAGACTACTTACTACTCCCCATCTTTAAAGCCTGTGTACCTGCAGACCAATAAAGCTGCTGCATGGAGCACCTGTCACTTTATACGGCCTAGCTGCGAGTTATAGTGTCAGCTGCCTGCCCAGCTCTCTCTCCAGCTCCCGTGGAACAAAAGGCACAGCCACAGGGTCCAGCTCTCTCAATCTTTTTTTTTTTTTTTTTTTTTTTTTTTTTTTGTGGAACCGGGGATTGAACTCAGGTCCTTCCGCTTGCCAGGGAAGCACTTATTCCACTGAGCCATCTCTTCAACCCACTTGGGTCCAGCTCTCTCTCCAGCTCCCATGGAACAAGAGGCACAGCTGCAGGGTCCAGCTCTCTGCTCCAGCTCCCGCGGAACAAGAGGCACAGCCACAGGATCCAGCTCTCTCTCCAGCTCCCACAGGAACAAGAGGCACAGCCGCAGGGCCCGCTCTCTCCCCAGCTCCCTGGTCACCCAGGCATCCTGCTGCTCACCCACTACCTCCTCCATCTGCCCAAGACACAACCTTGCTGACACCCAACTGGCCTACACTCTCGCGGCTGCTCTGAAGCCACAGTGAGCCCTCGGACACCTGAAGCCTCCTCGAATCCCCTCCACTAGAACTCCGCAGCAGCGGGGAGGGCCTCGGTGCTGCCCTGCAGGCCCCTGCCACTCCCTCGCTCCTCCCTACCCTCGGCTGAATGCACCACCATCCTCTGCTCCAGTCTTCCCTCAGTACCCATCTGCAACCCTTTCCCTGGACTACAGCAGCAACTGTGCATGCTAATTCTCACATTTTGATGTGTTGCCCTTCTGTAGCTCCCTGACAGATCTCCTCCTGTCAGTGCTCTCCTCGGCAGTGACCATCCTGAGTGACACCCACTTGGGCGCAACTGACACCACTACACGTCCACGTTGGCACATCTCCAAGGGGGCTGCGTGTCACCACACCCGGGCACGAAGCTTGCTCGAGTCCCGAAGCACAGAGACCTTCTCTAGCTGTAGGGCTGGCTGCTGCACTCACTCCAGAGGGCTGAAAGGCCTGAGGCACCAGAAACCAGAACGACAGAGCTCTTTCATCAAAATATGAGGTAACTGCTGCAGGCACCACTCGCTCAGACCTCTGCCTCCCAAAAAAGCAGCGTCTAAGACACACATTGCTAACCTGGTCAAGGAAACTCACAAATCGCTGTGCAAAGACAACGACATTCACAGAAAGACAATCACTGAAGTTTCTGTGATTGCCTTTAAATTGGAAAAACATTTCCACCCAGAAGCTAGAAAGAAAAGATATGAGATTCTACTCTCATCGTATTTGTAATAGTCCTCTTCCATTTACTTAAAAAGTAAGATCTATATAATTTGTAACAAATCTCATGTTGAAAATCCAACAACCATTTATTTCAGCAAAAGGCACTGAAATATGATAATTTCATCTTTGATATGAAAGACAGGTGAACATAAAGAATAATGTTTCCTAACTCACAAATCTGGAAATCAGACTGAATAGTAACTTCATTCTGATTGTACATTATAAAATACTAATGAATTGATTAACAATAAATTTTGAATTAATTATGCAATAATAACATGAAACAACGAAAAGCTCCTCATGAAGTCTTTTTTTTTTTTTAAGCGTATTTTATTTATTTATTTTACATTTATTTATTGTGTGTGTGTGGCCAGCTCAGCCCACCAGGGGGCAGGGCTGGCTGGCATGTGGTGCTGGGGGATTAGAACCAAAGTCCCTGCTTTGCCAAGCTTGTTCCAAGTAGGTGCTTTAGACCACTGAGCCATCTCTCCAGTCCCCCTCATGAAGTCTTGCATACTATTCATAAAACGTCAATAAAAGCCAATTTGTGACTCAGAAAATATGCATACAAATCTCTCATAAATCTTAAGTAATTACTTTTCCCATGTAGAGAGAATTTATCCAACAAAAGCAATTACTGTTGTAAACTTCCTAATACAAATCAAAAATTAAAAAGTTGCTTGTCCTATACTTTTTCAATCTCTTTTTATAAATCTTTTATTTATTCATTTGGTGCAGGGTCTCACTACGCAGCTTGGACTCATAGTGATCCTCCTGTCTCAGCCTCCCCAGCTCTGGGATTACAGGCGTGCGCCACAACATCGTTTCAGTGGCTGGCATGGCACAGGGCTGGCATGGCCTGCAGTACTTGGGATCAAACCTGGGTCCTTGCGCTTGCCAGGCAGGTGCTTAGGCCACTAAGCTATCTGCCCAGCCCCTTCATCTCACTCATTCATTTCTGTCCTACCTTCCTTCAAACCATTCAACAGTCTTTACAATGCTCTTCAATTCTGCAGCCACGCACTGAACACTGAACTGATTTTCCAAGACATCTGGTTAACCTCGGCTGATCAGGGGGTACAAAGGTGTGTCAAATTAAGCAGCCCTTCCCTGAAGATGAGTCAGACATGAAAGCCACTTTTCTCTATTGTCTTACGATTGCCACATAGCTCCTAAACGAATCTATGGTGATAGAAAGCATTACTAATACATGAGACATTTTCAGGGGTTGAATAAAGAAAACAATTTCCTTTTAGAAAATCATGTAAGTTTTTTTGTTTTTTGTTTTCATTTCTAGGCATGCACCCCACGGGCACATTACCAGTGAGCGACAGCCCCAACCCCTTTTTATTTTTTTTGAGACAAGGGCTCCCTAAGCTGCCCAGGTGGGGCTTGAACTTGTGACTCTTCTGCCTCAATTTCCCTCAGTATGAGACTACAGGCACGTGTCCAGGGCGCTCAGCTTCATAAAAGGTTCTTTAGTATACTGTTTTCACCCGGGGGTCTACACCCACGCAGCAGCAAAACTCCTTGACTAAAAACTAAAGCATAACTTAATACCCAATGAGGAGACAGAAACAATTACCAAAGAAGGATAAGTAGCAATTAAAGACTAAAGCCAGTGACTTTTCTCATCTATTTTCAATCTGCCTAAGATTTTCACTAACCATTAAAACCATCCATGTAACAGAAATGCTGGCCCTACCACAGGACAATATCCTGATTCTACGTATCTGAAAGACAAACTGCAGACTGCGGGGCTGGACTGTGAGGCGAGATCGAGAGAAGAAAGGACGCAGCAGCTCAGCAGCTGCCCTACGAGAGGCCAGGGGACGCTCTGATCTCCACCTGTGATTTTCACATCACGAGTAGTGGGGACCTCCCGGCCACAGCGCAGGCCTCGGCATGCAGTCTGGTGCAGACAGTCCGACTAATCCCGGCACCTGTCTGTTTTCTTATGACCTGCCCCCAGGTGAAAGTGCCCGTTAATATCCAAACGGAATTGAGCAACAGTGAGTAAGAACACACTCAGTGCCATCAACAGATGTCAGCATCTTGGAGAATAACTTCCACTTACCACTCACCTCGGCTCTGAGGGCACCAGCCGGCACACCTGCTGCACGAGAGCCAGTTTCCCACACGAGGGCGTCCTCCGGGCTCTTCTCCTGACTCCTGAGAACCAGGAGGAGCCGGCTTGCCCAAGGACCGCCGCGGTCATTCAGTGCACTCGCAGGGGCATGTGTTTAAGTTCCTCAAAATTTTATTCAATGTCATGGACAAAATCAAACAACACAGAGCTCTCCACTTTTTTACTGTACTTAGTATCTTCCCACCCGCAGAGTCAAGCCCCAAGAACAGCAATGTGCTAACCTAGGTATCGGCAAGCGCATGGCTTGAAAACAGCATTTTCAGCCGTGTTTTCCACCCTGGGGGTGGGAAAGCGAAGTGAGTAAGCAAGCCGGACGAGCCGTTCGCAGTTCGCAGTTCGCAGCCGCTGGAGCCTGCGCTCTGCCCGCGCGACCAGGAGGCAGAGAACGCAGCGGCGCGGCGCCCAGATGGCGCGTTTGACCTCCTTCCCAAATCCAGCCACAGAGAAACACAGCTTCTGCTTTTTTCGTTAATTAATACTCTGGAATTTGGAATTTTTTAACTTAGTTTTTATATTTTAAAGAAAATACAAAATAGTAAAAATAAAATTAGAAACAATACAGAATTTCACTACACAAAATAGGAATTCGACAATGCTCGTTGCATGAAATGTGGAATAATAAAATTTCCCTTTCTAGGAGTCTGTAGTATGTTTAGGGCTAGTAGACCAAAGCAGTGAAAAGACCTGGATGGAGATCTTTCGACAAAATTTACTTGATCCAGGATGTTGTGCATAAAATACTGTTATGGTTTGTGTGTAGGTGTCCCCTCCAAGCCTCATGCAGTCTTGGGGTGGCTTCTGGAGTTCGTGATTGATTACTGTGGGTGTGGCTGCTGCACCAGCCCTGGGGCAGGTAATCTGCATTTCAATGTAAGGTGGGGAGAGAAGCCAGCTGCAAGAACTGCTGCTACTCCCTTGTGTGCTCTCGCTCTTCGCCACCGCCAAGAAAGGTTGCTTTCTGCTGCTCTGCCTTGGACCCAGCTGAGTATGGACTGAAACCTGCAGTGACTGTGAGCTAAACAAACCTTTCCTTCCTTCATTTTGGGCGTCGGGTATTTGTCCCAGCAGCAGGAGAAGAGTAGCTGAGACACACACCATTTCTTGAAAGCAGTCATCTTTTAGAAGCCGGCCACTCTCACCCTCACCGCGGCTCCACGCGCACGCACACCACAGCGCCCCTCGGAAAGCACTCACCTGACTTTCTTGCCCTGCTCAGTGAGCATCTTCACCAGATCAGCGATGGGGTACTGCGCCTTAGCTGCACAGAGACCATAGCCTGCCCAGGGCATCAAGAACACAAAAGAAGAGGTGGTTTTAACTTCTAAATCTTATGAACTACAACCTTTCTTGTCACAACGTGCTGCATGCCAATGGAGGCAATCAGTTAACAGAAAGGAAAGCAAACTTACATTCTGCACTTGGAACACTCTAGCCTGGCCTCGAAAGCTAAAAGCCTACGGGTCCCCCCTCAATCTGCCACTGCAGCGCCTGACGCTGCTGGGGAGCACAGTGGGCACTGCGTCCGCTCGCTGCTGCCTCCCTCCCTCTCCAAGCTCTCCGTGTGCTCAGCATGGACAGCACTGCCCTCCTCGGTCCTCCTCCTTGAATGCCTTGAACAGGTTTTCTCTTTCCGTTCTCTCCGGATGACCAAGTTCCTCTGGAATCTTTAAATCTGGCTCTCTCTGCTGCCTAAAAGTCTCAGCTCGTCCTAGGACCACAACAGCCATCTGATGACTCCCATCTGTCTGTCACCGAGCACAGCCTGGCCATACCCTCAGGGCCTTATGCACACTGTCCAAGTTTCGTGTCTCAGAAAATAACTGAAGTTGCACCCCCACACCCAAGTGAAAAACATTCTTCACATATGATGTCATTTTGTGTATAACAAGAAATTCTGCCATCTGCTTTCACCTTATTCCTCCTTCCTGTCCATTCTACCCCTACAATGACTCTCCAATCTGCCTCCACTTTTCCAGCTCATTTTCTCCAAATGCTAAGAATGTTCAATCTATTCCTCGTCTTCCTCTATGCCCAACATCATCCATCCTCCAAGCCCCAAACAAATCCTTACTTCCCTACAGACGTTCTTAAATTCCTGATGGTGGAATAACCTTGGCCTTCACCATCACCCACTCTGTATCACTTACCTGATTTCTTCACTGGGTGAAAACTGCCTGGCAAAGTAGACCCACCCACCACATCATCCCCCTTGCCACGCTGGCCCCTTCTCAACAGCTAAAACCAAAGCTGCCTTAGGTGGGAAAGTACACGGGAGGGCCCCGTGCATCACACTGTATGTGATTTATCTGCTTCTATCTGCTAGTCAGCAAGGGCAGTTCCATTATCCAAATCCAGACGTTACCCCTAAAAACATTACTCAAATATGAGGCTTTCACCTTATCATTCAACTAATATTGTAATTTTTGTCTTAGTACATAACCAACCAGTAAATTACCCACATGTCAAATCAGTAGTTTCTTTATAGAAAAATCACGTGACAGGGTAACACAAGTAAAATCTTAACCAGAAACCAATGGATTACTATCTATAATACCTTATATTCTAATGAGAGTGACGAGCCGGACTAATCCTTAGAAAATTGGGGAACTGAAACCTAGAGAGATGAAATCTCTTTATCAATGTCATCCTGAGTGTTACAGGACAGATTAAGAATAAAAGCTTCATTTTACTAAGCTATGTTTCCTCATCCTGCTGGAAACCAGATAATTGTGAATAATTTTTTATTTTATTTTTTTTAATTATTTTTTTTTAAATTATTTATTTTTATTTATTACATTTATTTATTGTGTGTGTGGCCAGCTCAGCCCACCAGGGGGCGGGGCTGGCTGGCATGTGGTGCCGGGGGATCGAACCGCGGTCAAGTAGGTGCTTTAGACCACTGAGCCATCTCTCCAGCCCGTGAATAATTTTTTAAATATTTATTTTTTTAAAAGAAAGTAACATTTACTGAAAGCCTGTGCTAGCTGACAGATTATCAACTTGGCTGAACGGACTCGGGCAGTCCCAGAGGCCCCACCCCACGGGGCAGGCCTCGTGCGTGATTGGTTCCACCCTATAGGTGGGGTACTATTGGGCCCACCTCAGGGTGCAACTGGTTCTGCCCTGGGGCACTACTGGGCCCATGCGGGGTGCGATTGGTTCTGCCCTGGGATGCGTGCAAAGGGCCCACCACAGAGGGACTCAGCACAAGAAGTGTATAAAGCAGGTGAGGAAGGCTTCTTGGGGCGGCCTGCCCCGCCTCCTTGGGGGAGTCCCGGTCTTCTTCGTGTCACTTCGCAGCCCCGCCACTTCGAGGAGCTCTGGTCTTCATGGTGAAGCCTGCTCTAGAAGGAAGAGAGGGGCTGGATGGACGCCCCAGCTGCTCCTCCTCCTCTGCTCTTCCTTGCTTTCTGCTGCCCTGAACTGCTACCATGTGCCTTGCAGCCAGCGGAGTATGAACTGAAACCTCCAGTCACTGTGAGCTAAATAGACCTTTCCTTCCGAGTGTCAGGTATTTGTCCCAGCAATGCGTGAAAGTAACTAGGACAGTCTTATCGATGAGTAACTTTCATGTATCGACTCTAATTTAATCTTGGTAATAGGCCAAAAAGTTACCAATGACAAAAAATAGCTAAAACTCACAAAGAATTTCAACATTTGTACAGAATCTGAGACACAGCTAGAACCCACTGCACCACTTCACAGAATATCTATGTGAGCCCTAGATATTAATTTAAACCAAGAATTCTAAGTATTTCTCTACTAGTAATCACAGAATTGCTACATACGTTTCCATTAGGTTTTAAAAATGAAGACATTCCATTTTTTGCTAGTATGAGAAATTAATGTAATAAATTACAACAGTTACAGGTTATTTCCTTTTCCTTATTTTGCTTTTTTACCTGGAGTAATAATAATGCTGTTAGCTTCTCGAATCATGTCGATCGCACCGTCGAGGTTGATTTCCGTATGCGTGCCCGAAATCTCCATGGGCTTCCCGCCCGCGGTGGACGTGGTGCCATAGCCTCCCAGGATCACGTTGGCCAGAGAGCGATTCATGGCCTGAGGAAGGAAGTCAGCGCCACTGAGACTGTGTCCACACAGCAGCTCTCTGCGCACGGCACGCACTGCACGTGTGACAGCCACAACCATGGAGAGGCTTATTTATTTGATCTTTTAAAACATTTTTAAAGCATTTTAATCAGATCATTTATTTTTAAAACCTTAAATGACAGAGACATCTAAGAGACACATTTTTTCTGTCAAGGAAATTGCACACAGACGTAGTTCAGTAAAAAAGCAAAAGTAAATAACAACAAAGGATCTATGAAAATTACCAAAAAAACTCAGAAATTAATCAAAGCTCAGGTCGACTCGTATGAACACCGATTAAGCAAATTCTCTCTCCATATGTGTACGTGTTTCACCAGAATAAAAGAAACCCAAAAAGGATGACAGGAATAAAAAAAAACTTAAAGTGACCCTACACATCTCACTAGTGAATTCTGTCCAGACATGAGCTGCCAAGAGGCAGGCAGAAGCCAAGACGCTGGCGGCATCTCACGTAGAGCTCCACCGCCTCCGCCACCACGAAGAGAACACGGATGCAGACTCTCACCACCCCAATCTGGTGGACTCCATGCAGTCTTTTTTTTTTTTTTTTCAATTGAGAAAGAAATATCAATGAGACTGTTTGAAAACTGATTAACAGGGCAGTCTCAATAATTCATACATTGTACACTGTAATCTTTTTAGTGGTTATCCGTAGTACAAGATGCAGACATGATACCCTGTCCAAACACTATTAGTACAAATCTTTCTTCTCATTAAATTAGGCGAAAGTAGCTGTATATCTATCCTAACTATTCTGCATATACAGATACAAAATGGTCCTTCCTTTGTATCGCCTTTTTTAAATGGGCTTTGTTTGTTTGTTTGTTTGCGGATCCAGGGATTGAACTCAGGCCCTTGTGCTTGCCAGGGAAGCACTTACTCTACTGAGCCATCTCCCCGGCCCCTTCCATGCAATCTTATACCTACGTCATGAGTGAGTTCATCACCAGGATCCTAAAATCATATGCTCTATAAATCTACTCACCCTCTTACCTAGGAAAATAATCTTAGGAGAAAATAAAAGAACGGCCCTATCACCACAGTGACATACAAGCATCCCAGAAAGTGCTGCGCAGGCGCCACAGGTGGACTGCACAACCGACTCTTCCGTTTCAGAGAACAGTCTCTCTCCAAAGATGTCCACAAGTGGTGCGACAAGGTGGGAGGAGAGATGCTGATGTTCCGAGTAACAGAACACACTGTAAGAACACGGATGGCTTGCTGCACACAAGCCAAGCGATCACGCTGAGGGTTAGAACTGAGCTGGCCGCTTAGAAAAGAACTCCAGAACACTTCGAACTCTTAAGAGTTGCAAGAAACACACCATCGACCCGCTGTACTACTGAAAATGCACGTGTCAATCTATTACTTCAACAAAAGTAGGACTTTGTTATGTAAAAGCAAAAGAACATCTAGAGGTCACCAATGATAAGTACACCACGGGAACTTGACCAAGGACGGTCACTACCTGTGGAGACCTTTACAACCCTGCTCAAGTCTAATACGAACTCAGAAAACAGCAAAGATCCTTACTTGAACAAAAAAACAAATTTCCAAGATGAAGGGTCCAAAAGTTGAAAGAATTTTTTAATTGTGCTTTTGAACTAGCTCATTTATCAAATATAACACATTTTACAAAGCTCAAAATCTGGTAAGTTAGACTAAAGTTGGACTACATAGCTCAGTGGCACAAGTGCCTGCCTGGCAAGCACAAGGTCCTGAGTTCAATTCCCAGTACCAAAATAAGTAAATAATTAAATGTTACACTACTGAGATAGATAGACAGATAGATAGATAGACAGATAGATACTGAATGAAATAATTTTTACAGATAATAAAGCCTGGTATATGTTTATACGTATATTATTAATGGATGAGAGAATAAGACAAAAATTACCTTTAAGTTCATAATCCCAATCTTATATAAAATTTTAAATTCTTCACACTTCCTTCCATATTTAAATCTAATGTTTAAATGAAAACCCAACTATTCATACATGCAACTCCTCAAATTTCAATTTTGTTGATTTGTTTAACTCATTTCCAGTTTTAAATTATAGATCCTGAAATTAAGGCATCAAAAATATATTCTACCAAATTTTACCTTTGAAAACTGACTCAAAAACTGCATTAGAACTGAGATAGGGCCGGGGAGATGGCTCAGTGGAATAAGCGCTTCCCTGGCAAGCGCAAGGATCTGAGTTCAATCCCCGGTTCCACCAAAAAAAAAAAAAAGAACTGATATATTCTCGGAATAAATAACTTATAAAAAGTCACAGACTGCATCACCTCATCACAGTTCTGCAGAGGAATAGTCACAAGGGTGACAACGCACACGGCCACGTGATTCTAACTTGGCCTGAAAGGAACCATTACTTTCCCTTTAAAACTGAACAGACATAAGTGAAATAAACCAGACACACATGTGTAAAATATTGTATAGTCTCCCTAGTATAAGAACTCAAAAGAAGAAATACAAATAGAAAGGTATAATACAAGTAAAAGGAAAGCAGGATCTCAAGGACTAACTAATCAAGAGTGGAAAAGGAGAAGAGCTAGGAAACATGAGTAAGTCAAGCCATACAGTTATATGTAGAAGATGAGCAAGGCAATGATCCTGAGAATCTTCAGAAGATTTTTTAATCTAGGAGTTAATTGGAAAGATTCTCACCCTGACTAACTACATATACTGATACCTCTGAACTAAGCTACTGCACTGCAGATGGTAATTTGTAATAGTAGTTTTATGCTTGGAGAGCCTGTCATTCTGGTCTTCTGAATATGGGCTGCTTGTCATGACATGCCAGTTGCTGCTATGATGTCTCTCGGGTAGGTGGTTGTTCAAGAAGAAGGGGGGGGGGGGGCTGGTGAGATGGCTCAGTGGTCTAAAGCACCTACTTAGAACAAGCTTAGCAAAACACAGGGACCGCGGTTCAATCCCCCAGCACCACATGCCAGCCAGCCCCGCCCCCTAGTGGGCTGAGCTGCCCCCCCCACACACACACACACAAATAAATAAATAAATAAAATTTAAAAAGAAGAAGGGGGTGGTGAAGGAACGCAAGAAACAGGAAAAGGAATATTGTGGGACTGTCCTGCTTCAAGGTTGTATATGGTGAGATTTTTGGACTTATGTGCAAATATGAGAAGTATAGAATTCTTTATGCCTATTTTAAAAATATATTCTAATTTTTAAATGTTTTTTATCATATTCTGTAGGGACTTAAAGTTCAACATATCAATACTTGATGAAAAATGCCTGTTCCATATTATGCCTAAGATGTTTGATATGCAGACAGATAGTGAGGTTAAGCTTAACAGCCTAAGTTGTTTGATAATAACAATAAGCTTGTCTTCTGGATGGTTAACAACCTAAGTTTGCAGACCAAAATTAGAGAAAAAGGAGGGCTGCAAGGAAAGTCAACATTTTGGCCCTAGCCTTCTAAGGTCAATTAAGACTCAGGACATATGAGAACTTGTACTGTAACGTCATGTACCTCGGTAGTGTCCCAAATTTTCTGATCAAGGAGATTATGGGGCCAAAGAGGAAAGTGATTGATGATGCAGAGTGTGCCTAAGGAGAGTCACATGGAGAGAAAACACTCTCTCAGGCTTTCACAGAGAGCACATTGGCCAAGCAGTGGCCGTGACTCATCCACATGGCTGCACTGACAAAGGACCTACAATCTGTGGTACAGGATCTCAGGATAAATCTTGAGGGGATTTCACAGATCTTATCAGACCCAAAAGCTACAACTCTTGTTGCATAGGTCCTGCTTTACCTTGGTCTTAACCATCCAGAAGAAAAGTATAAAAACGAAATATAAGAAGTAAAGCCATGCTGTTATATTGAGCTGTGGTGGATTCAGGTCATCAATTTGTGACATTGCCAGTTAAGCAGAAGACCCAATACTATTGTGGGCTGCTGGACTCTTTTGGAATGTTTTGCTGAGTTTACATACCTATAATATTCAAATAACGGAACTTAACAAAAAAAAAAGGGTATACAGATGAATGTCCATTTGGTATCTGTGTATTCAGAGTGGTTGGGATAGATATATAGTTACATTCTCTTAATGAATAGAATGATTTGTTCTAATGGTGTTTGTAAATAGGATGTCAGGTCGGCATCTTGTACAGCAATTAACCACTAAGAAGAATGTATGCAATGTGTTAATTACTGAAACTGTCCTACCGATTTGATTTGAAACTGTCTCATTGCTATTTGTTTATCAATAAAATTATGGGAAAAAATCATACCTTATATGAGATCAAATCATCCAAAATTAAATTAAAGTTATTTTGTTTAAGGAACCAAAAAAAAAACTGAACAGAGGAGAATGGAAGAATTTCTGAGGATACTTAACTAAAGTGTCCCCATTTCTCATGGCAATTAAGGGAGAAAAAAATAGGGAACCTCACAGTAGTTTAATAATTAAAGTCTGCTTATTAAACACATATCCACAATTATATCACCATCATTCTAATTCTATGTGGTCTCTTAAAAACTAAATTATTTTTCATCTCTAAATTTACCATTGCAACATCCTGTCCTCAGCAAATGCTTAGGATTTATAATTTTGGTTCTTTTCTTTTCCATTTTTGCTTGCGTAAGTGATTAACGAGGCCACACTCTGGCTGGGGACCCACACACTGAATAGTTCCCAGCTTCCAAGACAGATTTGCAACACTGCCCAAGACCGTTCCTGTTACGTGATTAAGCACAATAATGAAAAGTGTAGTCTACATTAAGCAGACTTTTGACTCATAACTCTGAGTACACTGTAAAAAAAGTCTGAAAAGAAAGGTCATAGTATAGACAAAGCTAAACAATAACACACACAGTAAACCAACACCAGTACCCCTCCTTTCAAAGCACTGCAGGTTTTGATTACTCAGGCATACAGAGGAAAACATACTTCACCTATATTTTACATAGGGGTGTGTGT